TCGCTGCTAGCTACAGTGGGACCGACAGGTCTGCGGGTGCCAAACGTCATATCTTATTTTTCGACTATACGTTGTCGATGTTACCAGTCGATAGTATGGTGTAATTTATCACATGATACCTTAATATAAATCCGGTTTAAGGTAGTTAGTACAGCAGTAGTTCCTATAAAACAAAACTACCATACTACAATAATTTACCCATTACATTTTGGTGATAACCTCACTTAAACTTTAATGTACAAGCTATATTTTGTTAAATGATAGTTACACTTGGGAAATTACACACTTTTACATCAAATGAGCATACAAAACAGTTAAGCCTTGGTAGAGGGCTACTTTAACAGAAAATATAGGTTTTTCTGAGAGATTCAAACTTTTACAAACACTTACATACATTTACAACCCATACTTGCGACAGGTTCAAACGTTTTGATAACAAACATCGACACTAAAATACTTATGAATTCACCAGCTTAATGCTGATAAACTCTTTCAAAATAACTTGTATTCTCAGGTCATCAGTAGACAGGTATCGATGCTAGCTTTTGAGAAGATGGAGCGCATTCAAGACTCATCATATTATTTTGATTTACATTATATTTTTGGTGTCTAAAACTGTACGGAACACGCTTGTATTAAAATTTTATATTTAATGCAATGGATGATGTTTTTTGCTTATTTACATTTACTGTGTTGTGATACTTTACATGACGTCCTCCGCCCCAGAACGTTTCCGCCATTCTTGGTTTTGGGGTGTGACAGCTTATGACTTTTCAGGGACGGATTTGGGTACCGTTTGTGGGTGCAACGCGTACCGTTTTGATGGAGGAGGTGCATAGAACGAAGTTCTCAATCCATCCCTGTGCCACTAAGATGTACTTGGATCTGAAGAGGGAATATTGGTGGCCCTGTATGAAGAAGGACGCCGCGTGGTTCGTTGAGAGGTGCCTAACCTATTGCAAGGTTAAGGCTGAGCACCAACGTCCGCATGGCAAGTTACAGCCATTGGAGGTTCCTGAGTGGAAGTGGGACAGATCACCATGGATTTTATCACCAAGTTGCCGAGGACTGCTAGGGGTGTCGATGCAATTTGGGTGATTGTGGACAGGTTGACGAAGAGCGCTCACTTCCTTGCCATCAGGAGAGCTCTTCTGCTGAGAGGCTAGCAGAATTGTACGTGAGAGAGGTGGTATCGCAACATGGAGTGCCAATCTCGATTGTCTCAGATCGAGATGTGCATTTCACTTCCAAATTTTGGAAGAAATTCCATGAGGAGTTGGGTACGAGGTTACATTCTAGTACCGCATACCACCCGCAGACTGACGGACAGAGTGAGCGGACGATTTAGATGCTCGAGGACATGATTCGAGCATGTGTGCTAGATTTCGGTGGGAGCTCGGACACGTATTTTCCCTTAGCAGAGTTTTCCTACAACACCAGCCATCATTCGAGCATTGGTATGCCACGCTTTGAGCTGTTGTATGGGAGGAGGTGTCGGACCCCCATTTGCTGGGGAGAAGTAGGGTAGTGTACGATAAGAAGTACAGAGATCATGCTTCAGACGACTGAGCAGATTCAGCAGGTCCGGAAGAGGTTGCTAACCGCTCAGAGTCGCCAGAAGAGTTATGCAGATAGGCGACGATCTGAGCTCGAGTTTCAGGTTGGTGACTTCGTGCTCCTAAAGGTATCCCCTTAGAAAGGAGTGATCCGATTCAGGAAGTGGGGCAAGCTGGGGCCGCGGTATATTGGGCCATTCAGAGTGATCCCGGGGGTGGGTAGGGTAGCGTATCGTTTGGAGTTACCTGCGGAGTTGGACCAGATTCATGATACATTCCATGTGTCGCAGCTGAGAAAGTGTATAGCCGACGAGTCGGCGGTGGTGCCATTGGAGGATATTCATGTGGATGTGGGCCTGAACTACATTGAGAAACCAGTGGCGATTCGAGATCGAAAGATCAAGGTTCTGAGGAACAAGGAAGTGCCTCTGGTGCAGGTCCAGTGGCAACATCGAAAAGGGTCGGAGCTTACTTGGGAGCCGGAGCGTGAGATGCGTGAGCAGCATCCAGAGTTGTTTTCAGAGTGAGACTTCGAGGGCGAAGTCTGATTCTAGTGGGGGAGAATTGCAACATCCGGATTCCTAGTAAAAGGAAGGCGGTTCTAGCCAAGGGAAAGCAAAGGAGGTTGCTATTCTAAGGACTAAAAGCTAAGATCATTCATTTGAGGTATTATTTCGACTCTTCTTCTGTTTTGGGAAGGATATGTGGTTTTAGGGTTTCTTGTACCCTTGACTAAGTTGATTTGAGGTCCAAATAGTCCCTTCTAGAGATAAGGCTTTGTACCTGGACCCATAGAGGTCCAGAGAGCCTTATTCTTCAAGCTTTATGAAGAACAATGGAGGTCATGACCTTGGGTTAAGGTATTTGGGACAAACTCACCATTTGATGCCTATTAGTTGAGTTATAAGCATCAAGATTCAGAATTTACGTGACATTTATGCTTGGGAAGGCCAGATCTATGGATTAGGGGCACAGATCTGACCACAGGAGGTCAATAGAGTCTGTGCATGGCATGAACTCGCCGAGTTGTTCTTGAGACTCGGCGAGTAGGGTTAAGGTCCATGCGGATCACTCAGTGAGTAGACTTGTCGAGTTGGGAGATAACACGGTGAGTCAGAAGGGGGTTAAAAGACTGAAGTTCAAGGCGGTACTCGCCGAGTTGTTCTTGAGACTCGGCGAGTTGAGTCGGGGTAGCCCCGCGATTCATGCCAGGTGTGACTTGTCGAGCATAGGGTAGGACTCGACGTACCAAGCGAGACAGAGAGTTAGTAGACATGTGTGTACTCGCCGAGTCACCGGAGTGCACTCGGCGAGTTGGGTCAAAGTTGACCGTTGACTTTTAGGGTTGGTCAACAATGGGGTCCTTTAGTCAATAGGGGGGGGGGGGTAAAATAGCCTTTTACCCTTCTGAGGGTGACAATAGAAGGTCGAGTCTAGCCTCGAGTGTTATGTTTATGAGGGTATTTACTTTGTGTGAATAGGTGAAGGCTAGGCAATACTTCTACTGAGTCAGAGATTTACGAGACGTCTGAGGTGAGTCTCCTCACTATGCCTTACCCGATGGGGTAATTATATGTGACCAAAGGGTCTTATGTGTATGATGTATATGTGATGTAAGTTATATGTGATATGTTATGTGCTATGAACATGATGTGGGCCGGAAGGTCAAGATGATATGGACCAGAAGTTCATCAGAGTCTAGGATGGAAATCCCCTGAGACACTTGGATCGGAAGGTCCTATGGCCTAGAAAGGCGTATGTGCTATATGTGATATTTTGGGGAACTCACTAAGCATTTGTGCTTACAGTGTTATGTGATATGTGTTTCAGGTACTAGCGATGATCGCGGGAAGGCGCTGGCATGACTCGTACACATGCATATTGGAGTTTAAACATTTTGATCTTGGGGTTTTGTACTGATACAATGTTTTTTGATTTATGAATGCAAACTATATTTCATGGTTTTTCAAAAGTGAAAAATTATTCAAATTTTTACCGTGTTACATTATACAATTCGTAACTCAAAACTTTGAGTATAAGCAAACCTTAAATTCTACTAATCCTCGCCGATTACAGCTCTTCATCCGATTTCCATCGATTAGTGCTCTCTGTCAGCATTTAACAAAAACCTGAGATTAAAAACATTTGATTTCCATCGTGTTTTGCTTTCCGTTTCCTTCTCCATTCTTCTCTCCATATGAAGACCAAAAAGGGTACTCTCTTTTCTCTTTCTATTCTCCCACCAAAGTTATTATCTATAAAGTGTGATATGAAATATCTTTAGACCTTACATTGCAGGTTTTGTAAAATGTGTTGTAGCCTTGTAGGTAGTAGGTAATAGGCTTTGACCTAAGGACAACTATTATTTATAAATTAAAATTATTTATTATTTACTGAAAAATTACACATATTGTTTGGTATTGTAAAACTGAAATAAAAAGTTACACAAACAACAATATATCCATGTATCATGGGTTATGTATGGGTTATGTATATATTATTTAAATAATATGTATATGTTATTTATTTATAGTGCGAGTCTTATAATTTAAACAAAGTTAAAAAATACAATTTAAGATAGAGTGTTTCAATAATTTTTTTTTTATATTTTTGGTTTTGTTATTTGAAATACAATTTATTGAAAATATTAGTTTAAAAATAACTTTAAAAAACTGAAAATCCACGAGTTCCACTTTAATCAGCAATACAACGATATTTTTATAAGTTTTAAATTTTAGAGTGCATAATTTTGAATATAATTTTCTTGTCTTACTATTATGTTTTGAAATTTTGATATCTTATAATTTTTAGAGTGCATAATTTTGAACAAAATTTTCTTTCTCTTACTATTATGTTTTGAAATTTTGATATTGGCCTCCCAATTATGGTGTTTGTGTTCCGCCCCTATATATATATATATATATATATATATATATATATATATATATATATATATATATATATATATATATATATATATATATATATATATATATATATATATATATTCAATCCAACGTAGAGGAAATATTTAAATTATTGTCGTTTTAAAAAATAAAAATAGTAATAATAATAAATAATAATAATAAATAAATAAAATACCTCGAGTAGTATTAGCTTTTTATCAACTACGAACGTTAATCTTATAGTTAAATAGAAGTAGAAAAAAAAAAAAGGCACTAAGATTTACTTGTTGAGGTCTTTGAATTACAATTTCTAAATTCTGACGGTGAATAGTGGCCGGTTAACAAAAATAAAAATGTCAAATATTAAGCCTTCAACTATATCCATGTCATGTCATCTTGTAGTGTCATTAAATGAATAGACACATATAGTTGGGTCAATAAATAATGTTATCGTCAACAACTGTTACATTCATTCAATAACCGGTCATGTTTAACAACCTTTTTTTTTCTTTCCTGCTGGTGATATGAATGGAGGGTCACGTTAACTTCCATTTCATAAAAAAAACCATGTGATTACAAATATATGTATACTAACAATTCCTTAATTTTGTTTATTTAAATCAGTTGAAATGCACAAAGAAGTCCATTGTAATAATTTAGAAATAGAATTGTGGGGTGAAGAAGGAAGAAGTTGTTCCATTACAGAAAGGAAAAGAGAAAAGCACACCACGCTTTCTCAAACGAGACAGGGTGCAATTACTTGTCCACCGTCCCAACAACAACAAGAACAACAAGAGGAATTAACATATCATTTCTAAGCAAACCAATAACCCTAATTAAACATACCTATACGTATTTATTTGTGTGTCTCTCATGTTTGCTTTGTGTATTGTGTAATGTACTGTATTGTATTGTATTGTATGTATCCACGAGTGGCTCTGCTGTCTGTCTGTCTGTCCCCTTATAATACATGACATCAGCTTCAGTTATGTATTTATTGGTCCGAGTCTTGGCGAGAGTTGATACATGAACGGGCCACTTCCAGCATTATCTCAACCTCTTTCTTATACTGCACCATACAATGCATCAACATATCATATTGGTTTCTTAATATATTTATTTCTTATCTATTTCATCATCATTGTCAGATTATATACCTCGTTGATAGCGCCCGACTTGATTTTAGATTGCATCACACACCATTTTTTAAAATGCACACCTAATTCACCCAACAACAAAAACATTATTTTTTCTAATATTTTCACAACATGCCAAATTCATGATCATTAGTAAATATCAAAACACCACGCAATGCACTCTCATTTTGACACCATAGATTAACACACACTTACCAACTTTTACATCAATAGTGCATAATGATTCAGAACTTGCCTCGACAGACCATCTACAGTGCACCTGATATAGCCAATCAAACTAATACAATAACCACATAGATCTGTTGATTCAAAATATCCCATAGTTTTTGTTTTCAACATTCATTAATCATCTACTGGTTTGAAGCATTTAACCTAAAGAAGATGAGTCTCTGGGTTCAAACCGTTATAAAGAAACGAGAGTCAAATGAATGAATCAAAACGCCATTTTATTTTTCGTTCCATCTGTTGTGTTCATTGACCACGTGTTAGGCTTTTATTGAACCCCAAATTTAAACACTATCTAATATCAACTCACCAATTATATACAGTCTCGATTTTTCAAGGTCAAGAAATCAAGTCTCTGATCCCATCAGATTGATCGACAAGACCTCTCAATTGTTTTCAAAGGTTTTGGAAAACGTTTTATGTTTTTTTTCTTTGATTAGTCTGGGTGATGAAATCGTCCCAACAAGAGAACCAGCAGAAGGTTGTGGTGGTGGTGGAAGATGTTCGTGGTAGTCCTGGGGGTCGGGGGAAGATGACGATGGGGAGGGGATTATTCTATGTTATATATGATAATAATAAGAATAAGAATAATAATAAATCCACATAGACGCCACATCAGCGGCACATGGATGATGCTGGAACAGAAATTGCCCACATGGCATACCACGTTGAGTATATTGATGCCACAATGTGAAAAAGTGTGAGGTTTAATTTTGCCCGGTTTGATGTTCCATGACTAAATGGTGACATCAATCCTATATGTAACACTATTCTAAACATTATTTTAATGGGTTATATTGCAGTACGTGCCTCATTCCATTCCATGATGGAAAAAGAAAATTGTCAAAATAACAGGAATCAGATGAGGCAAAACAAACAACTTATTTATTTATTCTAATGGAATGGCAAGAAAAAGAATCAGATTCCATTCCATCAAGGAAAAAACAAAACCACATTGGAATGAATGCTTTGATAAATTCCTTGTGTGATTGATAATCCCAAAGAAACGTACCTACCTAGTTAAGTTAAGGAATGAGGGTATACCTCAAAATAAGATCCGAATGGCACATCATGTGCCTGTTGTACCGTTTCAAATACCTACAATTACAAATGAGATGTCAACTTAATTACTTGAAAAAATAAAAAGAAAAAGAAAAAAGAAAAAGAAGGTACTGACGAGAGATGTTTTTTCGGGGGACATCAGAAGATGCTGCCATTCGGTCATAGCTGTATCTGGTGGGCACATAGGACTATTACAAAGGGATCTAAATGTAATTTCTCTTACCTCACCATCATATTCTTCAGCACAATGCCATTGTCCCATCTATAACATTTTTAATATTAATGCCTTGCTTGATACTTGATTTTAACACATATCAACATTAATTCGCTTACATTAAGGTTTGTGTCCTTGCGGGCTGACCGGTATTTGTTTATGAAATTTGATCCATCTTTCAACAGTAATTCAAAAAACTGTTGAACGCTTGTTGGAAAGGTATCCTGCAGGATCCACCCATCCCATCCCATCAATTATATATATATATATATATATATATATATATATATATATATATAACAGTGAAAAGAAAATAATATAAAATTTTGATTGCTGACTTGTGAGAAATAAAATAGGCATCTGCATAGTCATACCTTATATATGGCAGTGAGAACATCCTCTTGAATGAAGGGCTGGTACTTTTTTGACACACTTTCTTCTGGAATCTTAGCATGCTTCTTACTTAGAGAGCTACTGCTTGCACGCAACTCAGACTGTTGTTTCTCCTGTATATATAAATCAATCATTATTCATCATTCTAAACAATTTTTAGACAGACAATTAACATAACCATTCCTGTCAATGTTATTATTCCATCAATAAAGCTCTATTTGGTTTGCTTGGCCTTGGATTGCATGGAATGCCAAATTGTAAAATAATAATGCTTGCTTGCTTGGCTCGACCCTATATATAGGAATGGAAGCAACTTTCATGTGAATTTTTTTATTTTAGACTAAATTCCATAAATGCTCCCTGCCCTATAATTAGACCGGGCAATCCGTGTCTGTGTGTATATTCGTGTCAGACACGAATTTACACGACTCGAATTTGTTAAACACGAACGCGACACGAATTATAAAACGTGTTTGGGGTATCAAACACAAACACGACACGTAAAAAATTCGTATGACACGTGACATGACACGAATACACACGTTTTTTAGCTGTGTTACACGAAAAAACACGAATAGACACGTTTTTAATGGCTTTTTTTAAGCTAGGGCTATAAACTAATTATTGACTTCTACGAAATCAGTCCCTAATATGTTATAAATATAAAATTTAACCCTAAAGTATATATATGTATATATGTGTTTGTATGTGTCACCTGTCAACACGAATTTGTATCATGTCTTATACGTGTCTAAACAGATAAATTCGTGTTTAACACGTGTAAGACACGAAACACGAATTTAAAATACGTGTCAGACACGAATAAACACGAAACACGAATTTCAAAAACACATACACGAAAAACTCGTATCGTGTTAATCGTGTCCTGTATCAAATTGGCAGGTCTACCTGTAATCATGCTTGCTTGGCTTATAGGAATAGAAATAGAAATGGATAACCACAGGGACCATTTATGTAAATTTAATTTTTGGATACAATTAACTCTATTTTATACATTATTTACTTATAATCAACAAAACTTCTATTTACAAAATTAATAAATTAAAGACAATAAAACCCAATTATGAATATAATCATAATTGTCAATTCATGACTCGAAAACGTCACATTTCTACTCAAGTACTCGTAAGAGTCGTGATATACATATATATATATATATATATATATATATATATATATATATATATATATATATATATATATATATATATATATAAAGACATAATATTTGATGAATATTAATGCACATTCAGAATAATTGGGGGGATGGAGTGTTTAAGAAAGTGGAGCAAGGGGTAATTTGAACAAAAGGTAAAAGCTTGAGGGCAAGTTTGGTACATATATAGAAATATAAAGAAAAATGTGTTTAGGGTTTCAGAAACCTGATAGACATGTGGCTTGTTCAAACATTGAATCGACTCGGAATGAGTCAAGCAAAGACTCGCGATTTTTTCCGGAGTCACGCTACCTGGTCGAATATTTTAGGGTTTCAAATGACTCGACTTGTGTTTCATTAATAATTACATAAATAATAATGTTTTACATTAACAATTACATAAATAATAATGTTTTATATTGCAATTTATTATTCTGATCCATGATGGAATGAAAATAACTCCCCTCCCTTGGCTAACTGCTAAGCAATTAAAATTTAACAAAATACATGGAATCACATTCATTCCAATGGAATCAACCATCCCATTCCTTCTCGAACATATTATACCAAACACTACCTAATGTGTATCGGTTCATTGGTGTGTACTCATAAATTTCAGGGCACAATTTATTAAACATGGCAAGTTACTAGATTTCTGGGAAAATGTCTTGGTGTGTATTTTAGTATGTGATTAAAGCCTCATTCTATAAAAAATAAAATAATAATAATAATAATAATAATAAAAGCAACACTAAATTTTGTATAATACCCTACACTGCATTTAATTAGCACTAAATAAAAAAAAACATCTCAGTTATGAAAAATGATCAATATATACCTTCTTCTCAACTTCTAGCATTGTATGGTAGTTCTTTGCTCCACGTTGCAAAGTTCTTAGTGCAGAATTTCTGTTCCAAAATGATGCAAACATATATCTAACTCTGCCTGTAAAAATAGTTTCATAACTGATCAGCAAGCTCCATCCACCCAAATGTAATTCCAAAAATTACTTTGTATTTAGAATTTTAGATGTCATTACTATAAATATATAACTCGGTAGATTTTTTCAAAGTAGAATTGTGCAATAGGAAAAAAAAAATGAAAGTAGGTTGTTATTTCTTACATTTTGCTTATTAGGTGTTTAAAAGATGGACTGCGACTACATGCACTGAGGGTCCATGTCTACTAACAACTTAGTAGAATGATAACATTTTAAAAGATGGAATGCATATTTATGAATGGAGGTATATATATATATATATATATATATATATATATATATATATATATATATATATATATATATATATATATATATATATATATATATATATATATATATATATAACTCCAAAGATTTTAGATGCTACAAAAATATGAAATTACTAATAATAAGGGTACTTGGAAAGGAATTTTAGAACTAAAAAACTTACCATCTGGACTTCCCAATGGGGGGACACCATGCCCACCAGCACCCATACGAAGAACTATTGTTATGGCAGGATTTATGAATGCATGTTGACTCCTCCTTATCTGCAACTATAAGCATTAACCTCACAAGATTCTTTGGTGATTGATTTCTAAACGAAACTTAGTGAAGACGAAAATAGACTGCAAACCTCATCTATATCTCCAAATGGAATAATCACCTGCGAATCGAAAACATAAAACAGTCGATCATATTAATGCTTACATTACATGAGAGCGACAACAACACTAACATAGGGTAAGACTCATTCCGACACATATATTATCAAATTAAAAGAGAAAGTGAAAAAGACAAGAAAAGTTGTTTACTACGGCCTACGCCGATTTAAAATCATGCAATCGTTATGGTGCTTCTTGATTTGACTCGCAAATTGACAAATGTGAGAATCATATATATATATATATATATATATATATATATATATATATATATATATATATCTTGTTCCCAGTAAAGAATATATGTATGAAAGAATGGTAAACTAACCTTCATTTGTTTTGAGAATATGTTAGAATGGAAACAGATATACCAAGCAGAAACGTACATACGGCCATGATACAGAAACGACCTCTCCATTGCACACGAATAGCTTTGTTCAACAACCTGAAAAGTGAAAAGAGATAGAGATATTGTGAATGGAAGTAGCTAGGGATAAATAATAAAAAGAAGAAGAAAAGAGGTAATTGCCTCGTCTGGAAGGAGATTAAATATAGTCTGTAAAGGCCCGGGTTTCTGATGTACCACCGTTGGTCCTTGATTGTCTGTGGAGATCCTTCTTCGACCACCATGACCATACCCATTCAAACTCCTGATCAATCACATATCACATTAATTACTCAACTGCTCTTTTCTATTACCAATGTAAATGTAATACGATTATGCTGACAATACCTACCTGGCAGAGGTGACAGCGAATTTCTGTGTTGTCATATGGAGACAAACCTGATGAACAATTTTTTTTTTTTTTTTAAATTCTGACAAAACAATATCAATTATCAACTACCAAGAGAGAATACAAAATCAACCTGCCCTGATGGGCTACTCAAAGTATGCCACACTGCTCCAGTTTGTCCTTCGCTTTCAACGGGAATAGTCACCGAACCCAGAACTGCGCTTTTCCAGATTATATCCCAATCATATATTGTCACATTAATCTGTACAACATATATACGTCACTTTAATATATATATATATATATATATATATATATATATATATATATACCTACAAATTTACTTGCATTGCATCAAGTTTTCACTCGCACCCACACTTGTTAAATGAAGATGCTAGTTGCTCCGATTAGAAGCACTCCGATTATATTTTAAATGCAGGAGACAATAGGAAAATAAATTACCTTTACAGGAAGTTCATCTACAGAAAAATTGAATTCCTCTCCCCACATTGGATTTCTTGAACCAGGAACCATTGAACTGCAGAATAAACATGAATCATGGATAATGTATAATTATAACAACCTGATGAAATATATAATCATCGACCAATTTGTACAAGAAATGGTATCATCCCTAGCACATATAAAATTTATGATAAAAGTATTTTTCTTCAAACACAAATGAAAAATCCTGTAATTTACCTAAATCGCTTTTCTGTACCACAAGTAATGATTGCGTAAGGATCTGATGTGCCATTAAGGTTGGCACCAATAAGATTTTTAGCTGCCAACAACTCAACCTACAAAACACACAACTCGTGAATATTACACATAAGTATACAACTTCCATGCAAAAAGAAAGAAAATACTATTTGTCTTTCAAGATTTACATTGTTGGTCCTATCTTGACTTTCTTTTTAATATACAAATTCTTACACAAACCGATGTACCGGAGCCTCCTTGATGGAGTTATGCACTTATACCTTGATGATATAAGTAGAATTGTTGGTATGATGATCTCCCTTTGGTTGACCCATCTACAAAAGTGCACAAATGCATGTCAAACAAGTGGCAATTACTCTGTGAAATGGATAATAAGTGAATTAGTACGATAGTAGTGGGAAGTCAGCAGGGCTTTGGCTTTCACTCTAATCGTGGACAATAAATAGGTTACTGGTTTGAATACTGATTATTGGCAAATGATTTGCAACTACCGATCCAATTTATGAACAACGTACAAAAATATCCTTCCTGTACATAAACTTTATTAAAAGAACAATATTTATTCCACACCAATGAAAATAAAATACTACTCCGCTTCGTAAGATACATATACATATTGACTTTTAAGGTCAACCCTTTCATATGGATTCAGATTTATATCTAGCACCAACATTTCCTCTGAAATCAACTTTTTCCTTGCAAACTACTAGAAGAACTCGGTTCATCAAATTATTGAGACGAAAGCTAATCGTATTGACCATGGAAACCAACAGGAAGAATACATGATGAAGAATGAGTTTGCAGTTAATTTAAAAAATCATAGACTAACAATTTAGAAACTCATCAAACTATCATATATCAATCCAGAGGATTCCTTACGAGAAACATATGAAGCCCAGTTACGCCAAACTAGTTGAAAATTGAGTCAACAGGAACAACATAAGTTAAAAAAAAAAAAAAAAAAAAAAAAAAAAAAAAAAAAAAAAAAAAAAAAACAATTACCGATGGCAGTTGAAATTAAGAGTGATGAGAGAAAATTGAAAAGAATAGAAATGACCTTGTCCTTGTCATCAGGGGAAACAGAAGCGGGTTTATCAAGCAGTGAGCGATCGGCGGCACCGACGTATGTGAAAAACCAGTAGGCGGCAATGACGAAGAAGGCGGCGGCGACGGTTACTTGGAGTTCCCACCAAGAAGGCAGAAAACAATCGATTGGCGTTTCGGTGATCATTTGCAGGAAAAACGGAAAGATTAATTAATTAAGGTAATGAAGATCGATTAAGAAAGTATTAGGGGAGGGGATTAGTGTTTCCATGGATGTAAGCATTTTAGGGGAGAAAGACAGAAGAAGTAGAAGAAGAAAAGTCAAAAGAAAGTGTCAATGGAAAGGGGCGGCCGAAGGGGGAGGGGGTAGAGTCGAAGAAGACGAAGACTAGAGACAAACAGCCAGCGTTGAATGCAAGAGCAAAGACAAAACAAAATTTTAAAAATTTGAGAGAGAGAGAGCGTTGAATGCGTTGGGAGGTGGGGTTGAAACAGGGTTAACAAGAAAGGATTTTGTGGAAAAGTGGTTGTTTGTAACGTCTTTTTACATCTGGTACGGTTACAGACGTCCTAACATGGTGAAAACCGTCTCCAACTAAAACCGCACACTTTTTTTCTCATGTAAAATTTAGCACCACTTCAATTTCTAAAACTCTACTTTTACATTAATACAAAAATATGCAACATATCTATCTATTATTATTTTATAAATCTAAGTGTAAATATCTTTTTAACCACGTTTATTATTATTACTTTATTTTTTCCTAATTTACGCGCGGTTAATCATTTGAAATAGCAAATATGTTTTCATTGCTTTGCTTATTATACAATTTTACTTATGTTTATTTTTATTATATTGTTTTGAAATATACTACCGATTCATATATATTGATTGATGCATCAAATAGGCAAAACTGTGATCCGAGAATATGCAATTCTTCCGGAATAAATTAAACTAGAAAAAAAGAGGGTAATAATCAAGAACATGGGATAAGACTTGGCTAAGGATCTATTTGATAAGCCTTTTAATTGTGTTCCAAGTTAGGACCCTGTCCTCAATCCCTAATCAGTTTGTTTGTTTTGTCTTTTGCATCCTTGGACTCGGTCCAAATCAAGGACTCGGTCTCCAATTATATGCTGATTCGGTCCTCCAACAAAACAAAGCGGTCTTGGTTCTTCTTTTACCTTTCACGTATTTGCCCTTCACTTTTGTTCCCAAATAGAATTCATGCCTTCGCAGCTTCGCTTCTTCCTCTTGTGAAATTTCTCCGCTCGTGCATTCTTTCTTCATCTCCGCTCCGGTGTGGAAATATAGATTAAAGTGTGAGGGCAGAGCTCTGAAGGTCATCATCGTTGACTGATTGTGGTCGTATTTGTGGCCTCCTTCCGATTGAAATTAAGGTTTGTCAATCCAATATAAAGGTACTCTCAAGTTCTCTATTTGATTCTTGTATTCTTTGACACTTGAAAAGAGCTTCAATTAGTGATTTTTGGAACTTGATATGTTATCATGTATTGAATGAGCATTTTCCGCTTCTTCCACTCAACTTCTTCCGGTCATTGATGTTCATAGAATGTATATTCGTGAATACCCTGCTACTCATTACACATAATCTGAGGTAAAATCTCACCCTTTTCTTTATTTGCATTATGTCTTTGGATTCTTGGATGTCTGTTATATCATATGTGTTTACTCATGATTGTCATATTCAATTCCCGTGTAAAAGTAAGTTTTACCTGTTTCTTGCTTATTTACCTAGAAAAACTTCAAGGTTATTTTGTTTATATACTTGTTTCTTACTTATTTACCTTCAAATTTCTAGTATGTTGCTTGGTTATTTCTATCAATTCAATTATGGTTCTGTTTAGTTTGAAGATTGATTGATTTTACGATATTTTTACACACATTTTTTCATGTAAAATGAATTATTTTCTTTGAGTATGCAACAAACATTATAATAAAATGTTGAAATGAGTTTTTGTTGCACATGAAGGTATTGAAAGATAGAACAAAACAAATGCTGACAATTGTGGGGGAAGGTTTCCAAGAGCTACTTTCAAGGTGGAAAGTGTTCTTTCTCTAAATGTGCAAGTGATGTTGAAACCATAGAAGAAAAAACAAGATTGCTACTTTACATTCTCTTATTATGGGCTTTGTCATGGGAGTAGATTAGATAAGGATTGCAAGTTCATAATCACTACTATGTTAGGCTATTTTCTACTATGGTTATTTATTGTTTACGTTTTACAAGTTTATCATGAACACATATTTATGCTTATTTAATTGTACAACAATAATAACTCTTGAAACCATTCTTTAAAGATATTTTATAAATTGGTTTTAATTATCAATATTGTATATTCTTCCTTGCGATTATGAACACAATTCCACACAAATAAAAAAAGAATCAAATATGTGGCCATAAGGGTAATATAGTCATTTTTCATCATTCACCATAGTCGGTCAGAAAAATAATCAAACAACATAAACTTAGTCAAATATGGATTCAGTCAAAACTTCTAACTCAGTAAGCTTCTAACCTAGTCAACTTTAACTCAGTTAGAAACTATCAAACGACCCCTAAGTTTCCACTTACTATGTCATACCCCAAAACCATGAATGGCATAAACATTCTGGGGCAGAGGACGTCATGTATAGTATCACAACAATGAATAGTAGTAAACAAGCAACAACATCATCCATTGCATTAATAATATAGTTTCATACATGTGTATTCTGTCAAAGTTATAGACACCAAAAATATACATATCAAAATAAAAAATGAGTCTTGAACGAACTCTATCTTCTCAAAAGCCTGGCACCTGTACCTGTCTAGTGGTGACCTGAGAATACAAGTTATTTTGAAAGAGAGTATCAGCTTAATGCTGGTGAGATCATAAGTATATTAATGTCTGAGTTTGTATGAAAATGTTTGAAAGTTGTTTCTATAAGATGTTTTGTATAATGTTTGAACTCTCCTAGAAAACCCTATGTTTCCTACTAACTGTAGCCTTCTACTAAGGCATCTCGTGTCCATGTGTATGTCTCTTGTTAGAGTGTGTGTTTCCCAATTCTGACTATCATTAACCAAATATATAGTTACTACATTACCGTGCATAGTGTAAATATTCACGAAGTGAATGTAATGGGAAAAATATTATCGTACCGTAATATTTGTAATAAGTGACTACCGTGGTACTATCTACCTTAACACAAAAAGGTGTTTTGAATAACATGTGATCGACCTGTATCCTGCTACCGACTCTAGTAAAACGACGACGTAAGACGCCGTAAGAAATGACATTTGGCACCCGTAGACTTGCAAGTCCCACTGTAGCGAGCAGCAAGGTGTAGGATAGTCAATCCAGTATAGATCTATACGTAAACTCATACGCTCTCCAATTAAGGAGATTCGGGATACAAGAGCGGTCGTGGCAGGAATTGCCATGACCCGCTCAATGGTTCACATAACTGCATAAATGTATATGCAATAAATGTGCTAACTGAAAGTGTAATCTTTCTCTGTCTAGCCTGTGTGTACTGAAATGTTCTGCGTGTGCTAGCTGTAATGTATGTTCTCTCTATCTAGCATGTATAGTAATGTACTGTGTGTTGTAGTTGTAATGTATGTTATCTCTTTATCTAGCATGTATAGTAATGTACTGTGAGTACTACTCGAACTGACTCATGAATGAACTGAATCATTGTATGTTTCATTGTTCTAGTTATAGTATTAGTATCCTCCCGTGCTACCCCTATGGTAACTTACTAATGATGTAACTGGTACGTATGAACATGGAAGTATACCCTTGCTACCTAAGGGTACTAAATGAACTGGAAGGACCTTTATGACTATATATGTACACATGATATATAATTAATATTTAAATGACCTTCGGACGGATACCCGATATCCCACCAGACCACATCTCAAGCGCAAAAAGGAAATAGGGTGGGCAGGCCTTCCTAAGCCTTTTAAACATTTCTTATATAACTATACATACATAGACATGCAATTGATAATAAGTATAAAAGAGTTTAAGTAAAAGTATTTGATAAGTAAAAGAGTTTGTAAAACAGTTTGAAACAATACAGTTTGATAAACAGTTTGAACAGTAATAAATCACTGGTTTTGTAGTTATTAATCACATGTGATTGATGTAATAACTATAAGTATTTAACTTGTATCCCCCCCCCCCCATAAAGCATTTAAAAACATTTAAATCATTGGTTAAGGGGTATGAACTCACCTGTAGTGAGTGGTACGGATGAACTGAAGATGTAGGATCTCTAGGTGACAATTGAAGTCTTGAACACACTTTATAACCCTAGTTAACATATAATACCACATATATGTATCCAATTAGTCTTAAACTACTAATTGATAATGTTAAGACATCCTAGAACATAATAAACACTTTATATAAGTGTTATAAGCCCTAAGGATTGCATCTAAGTTGTTGTGGGACAAGGCTAGTGAGTTTAGGGTTCTAAGGGACCTCATACATGAGTTTACTCTCCAATTGTAGAGTCTATGAATTGTAAAAGTCGAAGTAGTTGTTTCTTTTGTGTTTCGCATATTAGTTATTTTATTAAGTCACAGTTTTATGCGAAGCGTATTGTAATTGACTTAGTATACTTTTTGTACACTCAGGTCTCCTATAAATAGGGACTGAGGATAGAAGTAGATAGAACTTTTGCACTCGAGTATTCTTTCTGCTTATAGCTTGTAATCAGTCTTCATCAATATAAGATCTGATTAATATTTACTCTTTGTGTTCTTACTTTTCAATCATTCTATCATAATTTCTTTCATAATCTCGATAATAATTCTCTTCAATTGGTATCAGAGCAGGATTCAAACTGCATCGATCTGATTTTCGTGTTAGAATCATTTGTTTTTTAGTAGTAACTTTACTCAAAATTTTCCGCGCATTTTGGTTCTGAAAATAACTTTTGATCTTCAGATTTGAATCGATTCTGCCTTTGGATTGTTTAGTCAAGTGATTGATTAGCAATTTGTGATCATTTTTGTTGATCAATTCTAAAATTCATCAAGTTTTTAAGCTTTCTGAAATTTTCGTGTTCATCAATGGCGAACTTCAACATGAATACAATGACTTCTTTCTCTCATTTGCTTGGTTCTTCAACCAAAATTCCAATGTTAATCCCTGAATACTATGATC